AAGAGATTTTGTCCAATATGACGCAGGGATCAAACCAGATGCGGAGGGTGGCGCCGACCGCGACGGAGAACAAGGGGAGCGGAAGACAGATGCACCAATTCAAGCAGGCAGTCGTGCCGGCGGCTCTTCTGCGAACGAGCTCGTTGACCCAATGCGAACTGCTCAGGCGACAGTTGGAGACGCTGCAACAGCAGCTGCTTCAGACGTAGCAACTCTAGGAGCCAGCAGATGCACCAAGAGTGAAGCGTCGGAAGCGGCAGGCTCTCCCAAAGGAGTTCCCAATTCCTCGAGTAAACGGCATTTTGAAAAGTTGTTGCAGGGAGTGTCATGGTTTGGAGGCGAAAAATCCACAAGCGTGTCAGGTGAAGCACCTGCGAAAGCTAGCGTTGGCAGTGAAAGCAAACAGACCGGTTGGACGCCTGCTCCCGTAGCAGCTGCATCGGCAACAGGCGCACATGGTGAAGGTCGGGCCGACGAGGCTCCCGAAGACTTGTCTGAGGACGAAATGGTTCGCCCGCATCGAGGAGCGCAAACAGCAGAGTCAAAGCCAACACAAGACGGGCGCTCTGGGGATGATTCGAGCAGTGTTCATCTTCAGCAGCCCGACGACGTAGGTGCGCCGTTTGCTGAAGAAGCCACCTTCACGTTCAGGGAACAACAGCAGTCTGATCTAAACAAATTGGAAGCGCCGTGCTCAAGTCCCAGCAGAACGTCTAGAGAGAAGAAGGTTTCTCTCCAAGAGCCTGCAGGAGCAACGGCAGCAACAACAGATTATGGTGCAAGCAGCGCACCCACCAACAAGCGCGGCGTCGCTAAATCGGGCGGACTACATCTGCCTATTCCAAACAAAGAGCGACGCTTTTTACAGTTCAAAAGAAATTCTAGGCGCCAGAACGTGTCCCGTACGAGGAAATTAGAAGTAGGTCGAAAACGTAGGACCAGAAGCGTTAGCAACAGGGAAAGCAAACGGCACTTTAATGGGGCCACCAGCTGTTTCCTACTTCGGACTGAGCTTCCTCATTAGCGGGGAAGTGTGTAAACAACTTTTTGTTGGTGTCAAAGAGTTAACTAGTGTGCACGCAGTAAAGAGTGACGTAAAACATTTACAATTTGTTTGCCTTTCTAATCTACTATGCCTGTTTAGAGGAGAAAGTTGCAGAAGCCGTTGGAAGAGCTCCAGGACATTGCTGGTTCTCTTTGTTTTCCACACCAGGAGCTCACTACAGGTAAGGTGCCTGATTCACCAAGTGGGCCTCTAAAAATTTAATAGCACACAGCGGCAGTAGTTTACTTCAAACAAGAATGTGGGAGCTCTGCTTTACAACGTGGTGTCCTTAGAGAATGCTCTCCCCATTTCGAGCTCTTCACCCCTCTGTGCAGACTACTCTGTATGATCTCGCAGAGCGCCGCGAAGTAGAATATCCTCTGAAGAATTGGGAATATCCAATTTTCCTGCATTTGACCATTGAAGAGATTGTATGCTGCCAGTGTTCAATTGTGCCCGCCTCATAGACTGCCTCCCCAGCCTTGTCCCTAAAGAAGTAGATAAGAAGAAAAGACCGAAGCAATTCTATGCCACAATACGTTATTCGCTAGCGTATATTGATGCAGGAAGTCAAGCCTGGTAATGCGAAACCCACGAGAAAGTCAAAAGCAGATGTTAAACAGGTCAGTGGATCAACGCTTCAATGGTCCCCTTGTGCGTAAACACAAAACTGACCCCCTTGCCGCATCATCAATTAATTTTTTACGGTTCATTTCCTGTCGCTGTGCAGTTTAAAAAATTGGTCGGAGAATTGTTTCGAGAACTTGTCACCAGGGTCACTACACAAGCTCAGGAGACACGCAGTATGTGGACCCAGAATTTTAACGAAGGCTATCATTGGGCATTATCGGCCTTGCCCTCTTCCCGTGTTGCCTACATCTCAAGCGTAGCTGATTAGTACAGTAGCCTTTAGTGACGTCGATGAATTGAACAAAATATCTTAAAAAATTGGTCGGAGAATTGTTTCGAGAACTTGTCACCAGGGTCACTACACAAGCTCAGGAGACACGCAGTATGTGGACCCAGAATTTTAACGAAGGCTATCATTGGGCATTATCGGCCTTGCCCTCTTCCCGTGTTGCCTACATCTCAAGCGTAGCTGATTAGTACAGTAGCCTTTAGTGACGTCGATGAATTGAACAAAATATCTTCCATAGTCTTCAAGATTTTGAAGACTATTTCCTTATCGTGCGTGGGTGGCGTCCCTTTTGGTGTGCTGCAGTGCCCCAAGGGCAGACAAACCAATTCTCTGTTGTGCTTGAGAGACCCCAAACTGCACAGTGTTTTGGAAAAGTTGTGCTGAAGGCCCATGCGGAACTTTGAAACTGGCATCTGGCGGCCCTCGTACTTACTATCTTGTGGACCTTTGTTTCAGGATTGGCTGATTAGTGCTTCGTTTGACTCTAGCGTGGCTATCCAGGTCTTCCTGTTTGATTGGCCACAGAACAAAGAGCTGCACTTTCAAGCGCTAATGCATGAATGCACCCAGGTGAAGGAAACGGCTTTCTCTCTGCTTTGCCCCAGGCACCAGCGCTGAAAGCAGCGCTTATGGAAGGTGAAGCAGCGCTACGATGCAAACATCATTATGTGAGGCAATAAATACATAGCCTGACATGGCGGACTCTAATGCTGGAATTCTGAGTGCTGAATTCCATTGTTTGCTTCATAAGGTATGCACAGTAGATTGCAGACAAACCACTGTGCTTGGTCGCAGTGAACGTGGAACGGATTCGAAACAGAATGGGCTTTCCATACTTCGCGGGAATCCATGTTGTGTAATTCTATCGCTAAAATGTATGGTCGAGCAGATGCAGTCGTGCGCCACTAGCATCAAACTAGCGCGTGCATCTCCAGTGCAGCTTACCGGCAGCCAGAGTAGGGCTGGCTTGAAGAAAGTAAAACCCATATGTGACTGACCCACGCCATGTGTAGGATGAGGTGTATCCTGCAATGAGCGACAGTGACTTCTAATTTGGCAAAGTCGGCTTGGTGTCTGGGTCACCATTGGTGATGGACTCCAGTTTTGCTAACTCGGTGGTCTTTATTTGGGAAGACGTGTGATATTTCGTGCATTTTTCTGTTTTCCTCGCGTACACGTTGTCATTGCTTTGCTAAAAGCTCAGGTTTTGCGTGGTCTTTAGTCTGGTGTGCTAGCGGACCTACGGAAAGGTAGCCGCAGGTCACTGCGCTCCTAAAGCTTTGCTTCGCTAAAAATGTGCCTCCCAAACTGCTGAGGCTTCCTGTAATGAAAATTGCCTTAGCAATGCCTTTCTTAGCCACCCCACCATAGCAGCGGGTCAAGCCTCAGAACAGTGTCTTTTACATGTTTGCAGCTCAGTGATACAACTGTCAGAGTTCTGGTGCATGCTGTGGAGCAAATGGCTTCACGGCGTCACTCAAAGAGAAGGCGGCTCGAACAGAACAGCAACTGCAGTCACAGTTAAGTCAGTAGACCGAATATAAGCGAATACGCATGTAAGTAAGAGGAGAGCTAGGTCTGTTTTTGGCATGTTTAGAGCTGCACATGTCCATTTCGGCATATGCCTGTCCGATCTGACCAACGTAACGCACGGGACTTTAGGACTCAGAGCTAACGATTCCTTCAGGTCTCTGTGCGATGGCGTTCTGCGTTGAGAATCCTCTTGCGTACGCGGCTGCCGCTAAAGGTGCTCTGCGGGTTGGCTGTTTATCATTTAAAGTGTAGCGGTATCTAGAGCCTGGCGAACAGGACAGATGATCGATACAGCTACAGCGCCGTCACAGTGCATTTGGCCTTCTTGTCATCGCTGTATATTTCGTTAATTTTAAACGCCAGAGAAATCTTCATAGGAGTGTCCATAACTGCAGCTGGTTGCTAGTTGACACTTCATTTTCCAACTCAGCCTCAACTTCTTGCGAGTCCATTCGCTAAGTGGTGAGTTTCCCCCCGCAAAATGCCACGGGAAATCAGTAAGGCTTACAGGAGCTGAATTTGCGTTTTGTATTGTGCCGTATAAAGGGACCACGAAGATGCTTTAGTAGCGCTTATAAATCGCTATCACCGTACACACACAGTCATGGAAATGCATTGTGGCCAACCCTAAAGCGCAAACACAGCTGAATACAGGAATGGAAATGTTAAAACGCGACTAGTCGGAGTAGCCTAAGCTAAAACTGAATCTCAGCTGTTTATGGTTTGACCTGAGGTTATTTGAGCACCTGGGTTTTAAAGCTGGCCACTTTGTATGGGTAAGCTGTGGAGGGGATAAGTAGACAGACAAAAGTAAAAATATACAGTATAGTTGGAAAATTAGAGCAAACACAGGAACGTAAAGGAAGATTTGAGATATCACTAGAAGGAGACAGATAGGCACGTCAACGGGCAAAAAAAGGGAAGCAAGACAACAAAATGGCATACAAGCAAGAAAGGGCAAAACTATAGAAGCAACCTTTCAGGGGGTAATCATGGGGCGAACGTACACCAAAGGAAATGGTAGCGGAGGCTGCGAGGGAAGACGCATAGGCAAAAAGAGACAAGCTTACGGAAGAAAAGCGATGGGGAGGTGAAACAGGAAGATGCATATTTGGTGTCGTAGAGTGGACCTAAAACTATTTGTCGATTGTTTCAGAGTACGAATGTAATGACAGGGACGGTAAACATGGTATTTCCGACAGTGAAAGAATCGGGCACAACAGAGCTTACAGTGCCTTGACTATGCAGAGAACAGCTGCCCACTCTAAATGTCAACAACAGGAGGCAAAGGCTTAGCTACAGGAGGCGACAGCATACTCGACTATATACGCATGGCCCAGTTTCTCTCGTGCGCCTGTCGCATATCGCTAAACACTCAAAAGAAGATGAATGGAGGTGCAGGTGCCCTCACCCCGTTCTCTGCTTGCCGGTTGGCACTGTGAGCTTGCCTGCTGTTTATATTTCTGCAAGGAAACTGCTTGAGGTTTCCCTTAGTTCTGTTGATGGTGCATTGCACGGCTGCGTAGGCGGACAGCTGACCAAGAGCTTAATTGTAGTAGCCTCATGCTCAGCCAATATTCTTTCTAAACATATAACTTGCGTAATAAACCTAGAGATCAGTGAACAGTCGTGCTGCGTGTATTTTAGTGCACCACCAGCACCAAGCTGAAAGGTCATCCTGACTAAGCTTCTGACGGCAGTCTAGACGAATGCTGGTGGGACAACTCGTTTATTGGGAAAGACAGCAGCTTTTCACGTCAACAGAGCTCAATGCTGCCATATATACGGATTGTCTCTTTCCGAAGACAGTCTCTAAGAGCCCACGCATTAGGAGGCTAGGCTTTGCTTACATTTTCAGGGGCAAAACAAAGAGCTATACTGCTGTAGCTCTGCAATCAATTCAATATGAAGCCTGCCATTCCTTCCGCGTATCACCTTCAAGGCAAACCAAACGCGTTAACCGTACGCTGGAGCAACTGCTTCGCAGCCACACTCCATCTGACGAGAGGAGCTAACACAATCACCAGCGTCACTTTCCAGCCCTCAAAATGGGACATAATACGACCAGCCCTGAGCCCTCCATCTTCAGCGAAAGCTTTTTCCTTTGAAGTCATGATAGGTCAAAATCTTCTTAGTGCGGCCTTCCTTGACATTGTCAGTTCTTTGGGACCTCTGCAATAACCCCAGTGACCAAGCCGTTTCAATAGCTCTGTGACCCGGCCAGCGGTCATGCTCTACAAGCGACATGGCAACAAAAGGCATATAGTAACTCCTAAGGGCTCATCATCGAACGCATCGTATTATTCAAGGTCTTGCTCAGCAGCAAACACTTACCCGCTAGTGCTTAATGCATGAAGCTTCAACCCTTGTCGCTGCCTGTGCTCTACCACAGAGAACGTCGGGACTGTGGTACACTACTTGGAACTTCTCTTGGCATTCTCATGAAATGAAGTTTCCCACGTTTCCTGAGTTGTCCCACTCCGCCATCGCAAGCCTTACACAGTTGCTAAAGAAGCTAATTTTTGTTGGCTTGCAGTGCCAAAAGCAGCTGGTAGCCTGAAAAGCCAGGACGAAGTTGATTACATATGGGACCGGCGGAGCACTCACTACCTAGTGAAGTGATGACTCTTCGCTGAGGATGAGACTACGTGGGAGCGTGCTCAGCAACTCACTGTCCTGTCCTACTACGAACATGCCGGCGGCTCTGGCCATGTAACACAAGCCATAGCTTAATGGTCCGCACCCTGGCACAATTTGCAGGTCTCTTCATACCTATGGGCGCTGTCGCTACGCGCAGGATAAACTGTGTGCAAGTGTCTTCTCCCCTTGCACTCGAAGCACACGGAGATTTCGTGATCATGTACGCTAGAGGCTGCTGTTCTTCGTTCGCAGTGCTTGTAGGAAGTTCCTGGCCCCTAGTAATCTCCACACCCAGGCTGAGTACCATCTTATTTCATGGCCTCCTTCACAAG